CCTAGTGAATGCACATATTTATATATATATATATATATATATATATATATATATATACATAACCAATTAATTCACAAATTTTCAAACCGGCATGTACCAATTATCATGTTATCACGTAATTATTAAATCAGATAATCACGTATAAATTTACCTTGGGTAATAACCAGGATCTGGTTATCACAGTGAAAAAGTGAAAAAGTGACCTAAGGTTAATATAAAAGGTATCTTCATCATTTAGTATTTTAAGACTTTTGTTAAATTTGCTTAATAAAATAGTATAGATATATTATATGATAAAAATATTATAAAAGATTATAATAAAATAACCAAAATACCCTCGTTAGCATAACGGGTTGCCGGCTTTCATTGGCGCCGGTCTGGGGCTGTTTCTGGTTTTTCAACCTTTAGTACGGAGGATATGGTGCATTACACATGCTTTGAATACCATCCCATTTTGACCATTTTCCAAAGTCAACTATTTTCATTTTGTCCAACTTCATATTTTTGAATTAATTTGTTCAAAACTCTCGTCCCAAAAAATAAAATTTCAAATTATTTATTTATTTTTAAAATAATCTTAAACTTTTATATTTATTTATTAATCAATGATATTTTTTTGTGAAAGAAAAGTAATTTTTGTTCTAATCAGATATATGATATATCATCAACAGAGTAAACACTGACATCGCATCATCTGGTGTTTACGATGTGTTCTTGAATTTGGAGAGAAAATAAAATAAAATAAAATAAACAGAAGGAAAAGAAAATGATTTTTTTACTAATATACCCTTTAAAAATATATCATTTAATATGAATGATTGAATAGTTCTGTAATTTTAATAATTTTTTAAAATGTTTTAATTTCTTTTTTTTTCCTTTCCTCCCACATTTGAGAGGAAAGGTTTGGAAGGAAACTTATCATTATTTTTTTTTCTTTCTCTCCTAAAAAAGTTTCAATAACACGAGTTTTTTTACTTTTCTTCATAAAAAAGGTTTCGAGAACACAGCGTTAGAGACTTATCCCTGCTCAACGATGAACCTAGTGATGGTCGTAGATGTCCTTTCTTATGTGGCTTGGACACACGCCCATTGCTTCCTTGGACGAGCATCTAATCAATCGACATCAGCTACTTACCAAGCTTAAGAGTCATTTGATATCACCTCAACACTGCTTAAACAACAAGGAGGGTTTATCTTAAATACTCCAGTACCGTCAAATTTCAGTTGTCCACCCACCATCCCAACAACTTCTAAATAGGTTCTACAACCCATACAAGATTCTACGCGAGATGGAGTTGTGGCTTATGAAGTGGTGACCCTTGCTCCAGAAGCCAAAATTCATTCGGTTTTCCGCAAACAACGAATTGGCTAGCCTATGCCTTAGTACATCCGGTTCGAACTCCAAAATACATCTTGGGAACCAGAAGAGTAACCTCTAAAGAAGGGTCATTTTCAACCAAGGTTAGCTCAATTGGCAATAAAATTTAAGCCTTTAGGGCTCCTACTCATAGGTCACCAATTGGAGTCATGCAATACCACTGGGGATTTTTCTAGCTATTCTCTAAGGCCACGAGATTAGTCGATGTGCAAACAAGCTGGCATCAACACCCATATTTAACAAAAGAGAAAAGGGTCGTCCAACAACTTTTGATTCAATGGAAAAGCCACCCAGAATCGGAAGCTACTTGTGTTTTGAAAGTATATAATATTTATATACGGTAAATAGAACAAGTAAAACTCACACACCCTCCTCACCTTTAGTGAGATTTGAACCTTTGACTTCCTAAAAGGAAAAAGACTCACATACCGCTATGCCAAAGACCCTTTGGTTCTTCCAATCTCAGGTTCGGTGTTTATACACCACCAACAAAGTAAAATAAAGTGGAGTAAGCCCACCACAATGAAGGCCCAAAAGACCGACCAGAAAACCCATATGGATGAGAGATTTTTTCTAGAATAAAATAGACAATAACACATTATAGTTAGATAAGTGATTTTCCTGTCTCTTTCCTACCGTCTTTATTTAGAGAATCTGTTGGAACAAAAAGAAATTAGTCTAAAGACAGTAATCTTTATTTTCTCTATTTTGCAAAATCTGCTAGAGATGCTCATATAGAGCGCTTGTTTTTTGTTTCCAATACTCATGCAATGCAGCGAGATGTTAATTTTAATGCTTCGTTTTATATTTTGGGTCTATCGATGTTATAATACGATTTTATGTGGTTTTGAGAAAAATAAAATGTTTTTAGTTTTGAATGAAATATGAATTTGAAGATATTATAAAACTTTGAAAAAAAATAATCGATATTAGTATCAAATTAACCATTTAAAAGTTCTTGTTTTTTGTGTAATTTCTTTAATTCGATTTTTTATTATAATTTAATTGAAGTTTAATAATAAACTAACTTATTTTTGGTTTAGTAAAATAATTTTTTTTAATATAATAATTAAGTATTCTGCTGGAACTCGATAATTATTTTAATTATATTTTAGATTTTTTATATTTAAAATGATGTTTATCGTKTATTTGATTATATTTATCTGCAGTTAGTTACACGAATTCAAACATAGAGCTTTAATAAGATGTACCCGTGCACATTCTACTTGTAATCTTGAATGTTAAGTAAGATGCATCAATAAAAACAATACTTTATGCATAAAAATATGTTTTTAAGAGTTTTTGTCAAATGCTTGATAATATAGTATAGATAAGAAATATATAAATAGAGGTCGTTTCAGTTGCAAACAATGTAAAGAAATCTCAACTGTCCGTGCAGTTTATCAGATCAATATCAACGATGTAGATTGATAAGGTTTCGGAATATACTCTCAACCTTATTTGCAACTGATTTGGTATATTGCATAAAAATTCCAAAACACACAAAATCAACGGAAGCTAGACGACTCTAAATCGTCGCAGATTGTCAAGTTCCTAAAGTGGTAGACCTTGACTCTAATATCATGCGAGAATGTATGATACCCTCTTAGATTACTCTCCAAAAAGAACTTTTAGTGAGAGAATGAGGGTTCCAGAACAAATTTAAAAATGGTACGAATTTAACTGTTATAAAACTTCGACACCTATTAAAATTTGTCTGAAATAAAATGATTTAGGTGCCGTTTACTAAACGCTTACCCGGGTAAGCACCAAGTCACATTACCTTACCAGATGAATATGACAAGGACCAAGAATCTTACCCGGTAAGAATGAAGGCAAGAACCGGGAGTCTTACCCGGTAAGTGATGGTGATGACTCTTACCACAGTTATCGCTTACCGGTAAATTGTTGTATATGATGCTGTATTGGTGGACTAAATCTTACCCGATAAGTATGTAATTGTATATTTAGACATATTTTTTCTATGGAGCATCAAAACCTTTAATGCCGAACCCCACATCTCTGCTCAAGTACTAGCTTCAAATGGTCCATCATACCGAACCCATTGTCGTCATAAGTAAGGTTTTAAATGACGTTTGACGTGGTGTGACGGTGAGGTCAAACCTAAGATCTTAGGAGCCATGATGAGGCCACGACATTTTCAAGACGTGATTTATGACTGTAATCTGTATATCATATGTATAATTACATATGTAGACTGTAAATCATATAGAAACCATCTTTTTGTGTTTTTTGTACACGTAAAACGTTCTCTGATGTTTTATCATTAAACAACATTGTATAAACACTGCATGTTCACATATGTTGTTTCATCTATAAACATGTATTTATGACTTTCAGACAATTTTTATATGATTTTCCCATATACATATACATATACATATACATATACATATACATATAGGAGCAGGTTTAATTGCAAACTTAAGTTCTATCATGAAGTGAGGGACAAAAAAGATCACACGTGTCTCATATATTCATGGGATATTCATTATGAATGGTGTATCATTCATCTTAAATGTGGTAAAAATAGATTAGAAAGTAAAAAAAAAAAAACATAAGGCCTCACAAAAAAAGGTGCATCGTACCATGGCGTTCCATAAACTGACATCCGAAATAACCTCGAGCCATGGCAACCACCACAACGAGCGCCTTTAGGAACAGCGATAACGGGTCAAAATATACCGCCCTTGCACCGCAAACGGGCGATCAATATACGACAAAAACTATACGTAAAAAGTAAAAGATCAAGTTTTCTAGACACCGTTACCAACACATAGATGCAAATAAACCAAACCAAACCAAACGAGTCTAGTATATTCCACACGATATGTGGGAGCTGGAGTCCGACACATGTAAACGAATAGTAGAAACAACCGACGAGTTATTGATTCGGCTTTAAAAACCCGAATCCATCAGCATGTAAAAAACATGTAGCTGAATCGAGAGAGAAATCGAAATCATATTATGCAAACCAACACCCAAAGAAAATTTATAAGTCACAACCCAACCTCCAATATTAGTTATATATCCCATATATTACACAAACCATATGTATGTATATATATATATATATATATAGGTTCCATCCTCTTCATAATTACGATAAAGTGTCGGTGGCCAATTTCGAAGCCGACTCCGAAACTAAAAACACGTTTCAGGTCCGCCACAGAAATTCCAAAGGCTCGACCAGACGAAAACTCGAAAAATCTCATCACAATCCTATTCCCATTATCTACTAACCGTTAGCAGCAACTCCAGCTTCAAAACGACGCCAAAATCACATCATTAATTAGTTTCGAAAACTAACAGCATACTTAAGGTTACTTGATCATTATTATCAGCCAGCAGCAACGGCATCGGCCCGCGGGCTAGCGTCCAAAAGTTGACGCAGTTTTGCACCCGAATTTTGGTTATTGTTATTTTCGTACACTTCTCCGTCTCCATCGGTTCTAGCACTAGAACCGTTGTCGACTCTCGAGAGGAGGTTAGCCGTGCTTAGAGATGAGCCCTTTGGGCTGAGGCGTGGGTCTTCGGTATCTTGTTGTGCGTTCTTGAGTTTTTCCTGTCGCCAAATAACATAATTCACATGTGAATAAGACAAAAGAGATGTATATTAACAAACAAGGTCGAAATGCAACAAAGCTCGGTTTAGTTCTTATCAAGTATAACGAAGAATTTTTTCCTCATTTGATGTAACAAATTTTCAAAATTTCCTATTTCATACCCATTTTGAACGACAACCTTACTGATCTTGTAAGGATCCAAGTTTGCAAAGGTACAGCAAAGTGGACGATAAACTCGACAAGATCAGCAAGTTACAGGTCAAAATGGGTCAAAAATAGGAAATTTTAAAACTTTTTTTCATTAATTGAGAAAAAGAATATTCTTTTGTTATACTAAATAAGAACCGAGGCAAACTTCGTTGCATTTTGCCCCCAATAAAGTAATAACATAATTTGTGCATCATTAGGTCTTACAATTAGTTTGGCATTTTGAAGCTTCAGTTTCTCGGAATTGTCAGTCAACCGGTTAATCTCGGACTTAAGGGTCAGATTTTCATTAGTGAGGGATTCGACTTTTATAGCGAGTTCTTCCGCTTCCGCCTGAATAATTGGAATTTCAAACCAAATGTTTATATATATATATATATATGTATATATGTATATGTATATGTGTATATGTATATATGTATATATGTATATATGTATATGTATATATATATTACGGTTTGTACAAGTGACTTGGTTTGCAAAATATCCCTCCCCTATATATATTACTCGCATCGATAGAAAGACCGGCTGAGAACCATAAATATTTTGATAAACAGTGAGAACCAGTATATGCATTGATACATATACAATGTATGAGATTCAGTCAGTATATGCATCAATGCATATGTACATACATGCATACATGTGTGTGTGTGTGTGTGTGTATTGTAGATATGCGTTGATGAATATACTCATTGACCGAATACATATTTTGATATTGTATATGCATCAATAAATATACTGGTCTTATGGTTCTCAAAATATTTATGGTTTCTATTTGAACATTCCCCTCCCAAAATAAGTTAATTACCCTCCCCCCTCCCCTTATCCAGAAAAAGAAATTGTTGCATTTATTTTGGATCAGAAGAATTGTGTACGGATAAGATCTTAATATTCGAAAAAGATCGATCATACCTGTTTCCTTAATCTAGACCGCCTGGCAGATTCTCGATTAGATTGCTTTCTCCTCTCCCTTTTAAGTTCGCGCTCATTCTGCCATTAATTTAGATTCCAAAACGAAAGTTCAAGTTAATTATACCAAATTTCCAATGTTACTCAGGGTGCATTTGGTAAGCGAATAGGACGGACGGGGTGACAGTGAGGTAGGCAGGTGAAAGAATTCTTGAAGGTTTTAAGGTTTTATCGACACGGGTATTTTAGTAATTTACAAATCTTGTCCCATCTTCCTGACTTCTGTTCCATATTTTGTTGGGACAGAAAAAAATGGATTTTAATAAAAGGTCTTTGGCCTAGCGGAATGTGAGTCTTTGGCCTCCTAGGAGGTCAAGGGTTCAAACCTCACAAAATGTGAGGATGATGTGTGAGTTTATTTGTTCTATTTACCGTATATAAATATTATATACTTCAAAAAAAAAGAAAAAAAATGGATTTTTATGTCCCGTCATGTCCCAGTCTAATGTTTCAACAAACATGGGACAATAAGGTTTTCGTACTGTTCTACCAAACACACCACAAACAAAGATAAATGAATACGGACCTGCAACAGAGATTCGCCGGGCACCATGGCAACAGTTGCCGCTGCCATCTTAGCAGCTGTTGTGGGAGAATTCTTAAGCTCCGATTCGGAGGCCAAGTTAGCAGAGAGGGCAGCACCTACTTTACCCGAAACCTTAGGAACGGTAACAGTAAGACCAGTCACTTTCTTTGAAGCTCCGTTCACCTCGGTAGGGAAAAATTGGCCGCTTAGTGGCTCAGTCTTGCCAACTTCAGCTGCGCGGATAAGATTAGTGAAATATAAGCAAAACAGTTTCAAATAAGTGCATTTCTCCAACATCAAGTCCTATATGTATAGTTTTCAATGAATGAAAACTCGAGTAAACTGTGGCACTTACGAGCATTAGGTGATCCTTCACGACTCCTTTTCCCGCTATTTTGACCCCCCTGAAAAACATTTGAAAACCTTTAATTCCTATTGTAAAAATATGTGGAACCCCTTGAAATTTACTCTAAAAGAGCCCTTAGGGTGTGTTTGGTATGCAGGACAAAACATGACATGACAAAACAAAAACATCGTGTCCCACGTTGGTGCGACAATAGACTGCGACAAGACTGAGATGGAGACTGAGTAGGACAAAATGCAATTTTTTTGTCCCACCAAAATAAGTTGGAACAAAAATCAGGGAGCTGAGATAAGATTGGTAAATTGCTAGACTACTTATGTCAAATTAGAACCCTAAAACCTTTCATAATTCTTTCACCAGCCTATCTCATCCTCACCCATCCAGTCCCATTGGTGTACCAATCGCACCCTTGTAGAAAGAGGCGAGGTTCCTACAATACAAGTTTGATGGTCTGTGTCTAGCCGATGGGACCCCAACATGCCCCTCAAACGGAGGCTAGATGGTGCCGCCTAAAACAGAGGCGAAAGAGTGTGGTGAGTCCCTAGGTGTGGTAGACTCCGGCTCTGATACCATGTTAGGATGTGTGAAACCCCTTTGAATTCTCTCCAAAAGAGCCAACAGGTTCCTAGGTATATACAGCAACATGCCCCTCAAATGGAGGTTAGCTGGTGCCTCTAGAACCAAGGCGAAAGGGTGTGGCGAGTCCCTAGATGTGGTAGTCCGACTCTGATACCATGTTAGGATGTGTGGAATCCCTTTAATTCTCTCTGCGTTTGGTACATGACGGGACAAAACCCACTGTCCCATGTTTGGCGCAGCATGGGACAGAACAAGAACTCACTGTCCCATGTTTGGCGCGACATGGGACAGGGACAAGAACTGGGACAAGGTGGGACAGCATGGGACAAAAGAGGTGTTTTCTTGTTCCACCAAAATAGGTGGAACAAGATGGGACAAGAATGGGACAGATTCTAAAATATTACTAATCTACTCTAGTTTGACATAAAACCTTAATATGATATTTGTTATAATGGTCATCACCGCTAGTTTCGGCCGCCATCACCACTACCGGTGGTCACCGGCGGCCACCTCCACCTCCTCTTCCACTATAACTACATCGTCCACCACCTCCACAACCACCGTCCACCAAGGCCATTGCCACCTCTACCGTAGTCGACCATCGACCACCACCGTTCATTGCCACCACCACTACCGTCGTTCGCCACCTTCAACTCCTCCTCCACAACCACCATCAACAACTACCACCACCACCACTATCTTTACTACATCAACCACAACTACCATTTCATGTCCTCTATAACCGCCACCACCACCACAACTACCACCGTTGTCAACCGCCACCGCCACCACCACCACCACCACAATCTACCATCTTCATGTCCTCTATAACCAGTGTCGGCCACCGACCACCACCGCCCGTTGCCACTACTACCGTCGGCCACCACCACCACCACCACCACTACTACTACCATTAATTATATCAAAATTTTCATTCAAATTTGGTACAAATATGAAAATTATGTACAAATATTTATTCTTTAATTATTCACTTTATTTGTGTTAATTATAACTATTATATAATATTTAAAACCATCAAATAACTTTGGGGGTAGCTTGTCTATTTCTGTCCCGTCCAGTCCTAGTCGTACCAAACACCAGACATACTCCTGTTATGTTCAGTCCTGTCCCGTCCAGTTCTGTCCTGTCCAGTCCTACCCTCTTGTCCTGTCTAGTTATGTCCTGTTCAGTCCTGTCCAATTATGTCTGCATACCAAACGCTAAAAGAACCACGGGGAGGTTTCCCATGTCTGGCCAATGTGGGACTCAAACACCTACCAAGAGAATACATACATACATACATACATACATACATACATACATACATACATACATACATACATACATACATACATACATATATATATATAAATGTTAGCAGCAAAGAAGAAGTTTTTACCTCTGTTGTATTGCCATCACTTCCTTCACTAGAACCTTCGGTCTCCCCACTGTGGAAAATGTTGTATGATCAAAACTTTAACAAATTTAACTTTGTAGGTGGAAAAGGTACGTGACCTATTAGTGGATTTTCGGGTACAACCAATGAACCACATAAGAAACACAGACAAATATACCCATTTCTGGTTTGGGATATGCGCCGTGTGTGTGTTTTTGTGTATGTGTATATAATGGGAGGTTCAAATAAGAAAGCTAAATATCGTGAGTGAGAAGGGAAGGTTCATATGTGAATCGTTAAAAAGATCCATTTGAAGATACACATGTGAATCGATATGAATAATCTGTAACGTCGGTTCACATATGCATCTTCAAATAGATTTTTCAGATTTTTTCAATGATGTACATATGAACTTTTCCCTTAACCTTCCCTTCTTATCTTGAATGTAGGGTGTTTACAAGTTGGTATCATAGTATTAGTTTAAGCGAACTAGGTTATTAAAGCCTAAACTTAAACCGATAAATGTAAGAATGAAGACTTTACGGATAGGTCATGCCGAGTTCAACAAATAAGACCGAGAATATTGACAGCAACAGAAAGTTAAAGTACCTCTGGGAGTGCCCATTGTCATTTCCACCTCCAACACTATCTCCATTGCCATTGCAATTGCCTATTGACATTGCCAAACCATCAAATCCTTTCAACTTCTTCAGCAATCCACGATCAGAATTTCCCGATGACTTGGCCGGAGAATCAATGCTCATAGGACTACCAGCCTACACACTCCAAATTAAGACGAGTTTAATATGAACCACATTTCTTTAGACAAAAAGGCAATTAAAATAATCACTTTCATCACACATAAATCCAATACTGCAATCAATGTTATAAACACATTTCTATTTTACTTGGTCCCAAGATAAGTGTCTACTTTCTAATTCTACTCTTAATTATAAGAGAGAGAAATTCATTACTCCCTCCATTGTTAAGGGTAGAAAGCCATTTATTACACATTTTTGTGCCTTTTTCATTGTGGACATTTATTTTGGGACAGAGCATCTAATTTAATGATAGAAAGATTTTAGCAAATGTCATGAAGACTCACAAGAGGAACTCCGGGATGTGGATAAACACCTCCATGTGGATACATTGCCGCATAAGGCGGCATCATATGCTGAAATTACAAGTACAGATTAAGGTCGACATGATTATGACTATGATATATCTTCAACGTACTTAAATGAAGACGGTTGTGTTTGCACGGAATGATACCTGTGGTGGCCCCCACATATAAGGTGGAGGGGCATGACCAGATGCAACAGCCGAGTTGAAGTATGGTGGCATAGCCATTCTAGGGCCATAATAAGCCTGCAAAGATAAGGTTAAGGGGTTGTTTACCTTCTTTTCCATTAATCCCTGGATAGGTTAAGTTGTCTATCCGGATAAAAATGTATTGTTGTTTCTTTCTTTTTTTCCTGAATTAATGGTCTGAATGTCAGAAATGACTGTTTTACCCTTCAGTATGAATTAAGCATTGTTTGATAAATTGCTGTTTATTTTCCAAGTTAAATGATATTTCTGAATGATAAAAGAAACACAAATTTTGATGGTGAGCATAGATAGCATCGGTATGTCTTGTAAACAAAACCTGCATGGCCGCCCAATCAGGATATGCATGAACGCTGGTCTGCTGATGCTCCTGCCAGAGATAGTAATAGAATTCCATGAGCACAATACATACGATGATTGAAAGACGAGCAAAGAGCATGCCACATTAGGAAAACATTGAACAACCTAAGAATAACAATAACAATCATTGATGATCTAATCCGTCATTCTTTTATAGACCTTAAGGATTGCGCTTGGTAAGCAGACGGGTCTGGACAGGCGAGATTAAGATAGGCGGGTGAAAGAATTGTGGAAGGTTTTAGGGTCTTAATTTATTTAACATGGATACTTTAGTAATTAACCAATCTTGTCCTATCTCCCTGATTTTTGTTCCACCTATTTTGGTGCATTTTTGTCCCACTCGGTCCTGTCCGAGTCTATTGTCGCACCAAACCTAGGACAACAGGTTTTTGTTCTCTCCTGTCCCCGCATACCAAACGCATCCTAAGAGGACAACAAAAATACTATAGAAAGAACAAAGAATCCCCTCTAACAAATTGTGAAATATGAACAGTTTTTTGGAGCTTACTGGTGGAGGTGAAGATGATTTCTCGGGTTTACAAGACTTTGTCTCTTCACAGTTGCCCATGGGCAAACGCCTCAAACGGATTCAGAGAACTTGTCAACACTGTTCAATAGCCACCTACAAAGCTTGTCTTGCTATACCTGCTCGCTTGGCTACACCGAAGGATAGAAAAGTCAAGATGACAGTAAAATAAGAGAAAATCTAATAGATAGCTAGCACAAAACATTTCTTCAAATGTCCTTAGATGAGAATATTCTTCAATGAATAGATGGAATATATTCGTCGATGAATATGTTCACTTGTATTTGTATTCTGTCAATGAGTATATTCAATAATAAATATACACTAAAAAACTAGTTCCCTGGTAGTGAACCACGAAGACGATATGGTGACATGGCACCCGCCACCCCCACCACATGGAAATATTATACTTAATTATATAACCTTAAATGAGATTTTAATTAAATCCATGGCCTTTTGACAAGTATGAAGCCATTTTTCCATTAGTAGGTCAGGAGGTCATGAATTTAATAAAAAAACTCATTTAAGATCATATACCACGGGAGGTCACCTATATCGTTACAAGTCATTATTAATGTTAATCAAGACATGTCTTAATTCACTTTAAGCCTTTAAGGGTATATTGAACAATAATTATAAAAAAAACCACAGATACTATAGAAGACAGAAATACATCATTATGTAACAATCAAATCTAAAACATATTAAACCAAACAACGTTAAACAAGTCAAACATTCAACAAATACCGTAAACAGTAATGAATTGGTTTCTTACTCAAAATCATAAATTACCAAACTTCACATTTAAACCGAAATATATTGTATTTGCTTAAACGATAAAAGGATCTCATTATCATGACTTGTGTTTGAAACAATTATTTGACATGTTTTTGTAAGCAATCGACAAGTAAAACATAGACACATATACAGTTGGAACCTCTTAGAGAATAAAGGATTAATGAATGTATAGCACCATTTGCAACACATCTTGTGAAACAAGCAGGGGTGACGAAAAGAGCAGATGATGAGTGACGTTACCGACATAAGATACCTGTATTATTGGATGCATTCTCTTGATATAGTCAGAATTTGTTGTCTAGTGGTTAAAATTTTCTTTGCAGTTTTTTAATAAACTTTTTTGAAGTTTTATGAGATATGGATTTTTTTAAGTATATGAGCATGTTTATTGGACGAATAAAATTAATAATATTTCCGGAATTTTACTTTTGGAATAATTTTGGTCATGTAATTATTGGTATGAACTTGAAGATAGTTTTGTATATCGGTCACCACGTTCGATCTTCAGGGCTTCCTCAGGATAACTACGCCGAGGTAATTACTAAGTAGTCAATCTTTCATACATCCCCCAGATCCCCCAAGTTTTTCTTTTGAATTATTTCAAATCGAATTCGAGCAAATTAGTTTTACATTATCAACCAAACAAGCTTTGATTTCACTTCATTCTTTCTAAACATATCTTCTTAATTACTTTCCCAAACCAGCAAAGTCTTGATATGGGGATCTATTAATCTTGATCCATAACAACAGGGACAACAAAATTAGAAAGAAAAGAAAAAAGGTATTACATCATTTTGTCCTTTCCCATGATCCACATCAAAGGAGGAGAAAGTAACAAAGCACCATCCCCACCAAAGTCCAAGATAACCTAGCAACCAATTTACAAAACTATCCTTGAATTCATACCAATAATTACATGAACCAACATCATTCCAAAAGTAAAACTCCGTTCATATTAGTAGTTTTATGCATCCAATAAACATCCTCATATACTTTTTTTAAGCCCATATCTCATAAAACTTCAAAAAAATATTATTAAAAAATCCATGGCTAAAATTGCAGGTACTAGACAACAATTTCTGACTATATGAACACAATGCTTCCAATAATATAAAATACTTTGTTCTAATCTTCCAGTTACGATCGATTCATGTTTAGTATTCCCAATTCTCATTTCTGATCTCCATCTCTCTCTCTCTCTCTTTCTCTCTCTATAAACACACATACTTTGCTCAAAAATTCAATCAATATACTCGTAAAACAACATGAAATCAAAGAATCGAAGCTAAAATCGACATAAAATTAAAAACGAGAACAATAAATGCAAGAACTTCTACTCCATGACTTATATATAAAAAAACACATGAAATTATGAACTAAAAACGAATCGAATTCCGATTTCCTGAAGCTAATTGTCTACTATTGAACACTTAAGAGAAGAAAATTAAACGAAAAGAAAGCATACCTGAGAATTTGAAGAAATTTTCAGAACTCCATTTTCTCTCTCTCTCTAGATTTTCTCTCTCTAAAATGAGGGAGGAGAAGAGGGAGGGGGAAAGAAGTGTGGCTTTTTTTGCAGCATGTAGAGAGAGAAAGAAGAAGAGAGAGAGAGAGAGCGCCAAGGCAACAGTCCACGTCACCAGACACGTGTTCGTGCGTTAAATTTTGCACTCTCTGTCTCATTAATAATATAAGAAATTAATAACAGAAAACGAAATTAATAAAAATAATCTAAAAGTTGTTTGTTTATCTCTTAATAGTTCCATTAAAAGATAATATTTGAATCGTTAATAGGTGAATTTTGTTTGATAAAAAAAAGTTTGTCTCTTAATGGTTCTAAACCCTCTGAATGATTTTGTATCATGAATCTCCCTTAACCATTAAGAGCCCTAATTTCATCTATCTACGGAGGTGCCACTTACGGACCTGGTGAAAACTAAAAAAAATGTTTTTAGCTTCTCCGTATGTTACGGAGGTGCCATTTGTGAAGGTCGGGATATTTTGGAAATCTCTAAAGAAAAAAGTTGATTACCGGCAATTTCAACTGATCCCATATAAAATCCGTCTTAAATGACACCATGTAAGGGAATATCTTTGGAAGCGACTGAGACTAGTAGGGGGTATGGATCGAACCCGGGTCCTGTCTTGTATTTAGGCAAAGTCAACCCCACTTTATATCAAGTGATGGGTTATTTGGTGGTTGCTGAATGGTTTGGTGCAGACTTATTAAGAGACGTTAATGATATACAAAATGAAATATAATTATTTGATAATTACTTAAAATGAAATTAGAGTGTTGAATGGTTAAGGGAGGCACAAGATACAAAATAATTCAGTTGATTTTAAAACCATTAAAAGACAGATTTTTTTGTCAAACAAGATTCACCTCTTAATAATTCAAATATTGTCTTTTAATAAAACTATTAAGAGATAACTAACGATTTGAAATGGGGTCAATTAATAAATTCATAGTTCAAAACTTCAAATAATAACCGCATCTGGCCAGACCAATTGTTTTCACGAGAAAAAAGTATTTTAGACGTTCTACAGAAGTCATACTTATTTCATTCTAAAGAACACTTACTTTCTGTTAGTAGATAACTTACAAGAAATATTGCATTGTTATGTGACCCTGTAATAATAATTCAGTAAAAAAAAGATTTAGATCAGTGTAATTAACTGTTAGTCAAACGTTTTTATGAAGCTACAAACTTATTTAGACTTTGTGATTTCTTGAGTTCTGATGGAAATGATTTGAATTTTCAGAAGAAATTGCCAACAATAATAAATATAATTAATTATAGCAGTATAAAACCAGATTCAGTTACTTGTGTAGACAGTTTTGTTAAACTAACAATATTGATAGGTATGTTATGTCTTTTTAAAAAAAAAAAAAAATTGTTAAAAAATTAACAATATAAAAAAATTTTGTTAAAAAATGGTGGTGTCTGATTGGTTTAAGTTTGGGTTCCAAATGTCAAAAAATTGTCTAAAGGTCTCATGTTCAAATCCAAAGAGGAATAAAAATCTCCTTGTAGCCACGGAGGTTCAAATGCGGTGACTTCGAGTTACCGCAAAGCAGGTGGTCACTCTGGGATTAGTCGGCTCGCATAACGAGTTTGATATCCAGGTTAATAAAAAAAGCATATACATATTCGTATTAATTATATGTCTCGTTCGTATTTTATCTGGCATCTTGCACCAGACGGTAAATGTTATCTTCAACATGAAAAATTCTAAGTCAAGAAAGTGAAAGTGACTAAAGACTTTATGACAATACGGTTTCCAATTATATAAAACTTATCAAGAAAAATGTTGACGTGATTTACATATCGATTTTATTTATTGGTTGCTTTTTTCCCAATTTACATCGACGAAAAAGCTTCAACATCAAGGTGTCGGTTTTCTGCCGCTGATATCCTAACCATCCATCTGCTATCAGACAACATTAATTAAATAATACTTTTCGTAAGTGTAAAAAATTATTGTAATCGTAATCAGTAATTTAATTTGATGATCTACAAACACACCAGATAAGATGTCTTGGTCAACTTCCGTCAACCGTCATCGACCAGCATGTCAAACCTTAGCAAAAGGGTATTCAATAGGTTGGGTTGATCGAGTTGAAGACATTTGAACAATTAAACCTAATGTATGCGGTTTGAAAAATCTTAACTCAACCCAACCCAAACCGTATGAGTAGGTCATGTTGATATTTTGGTATATTAAAGTATCATTTTAACATTGAATATGTTATTTCTCTACTCATAATTTATTTTTCATCATCAATCATTTGATACAATTCTTACATATATCACATTCAGTTAATTTTCTCAATTTACATATATATGTTCACAGTTACTGAGCATATATATGAATGAATTATATAGAGATGTGAAAAGATTGAAAATATATGTATATTAAAAGCGTACGTGATACTTTAATTGTCTAATGTATATATTAATAAACATTCAACAATCATATTAAATCCAACAAATAAGATGATATCGGGTTCATCGAGTTGGGTTAGGTTCAAATAATAGTAACTTAACATCAACCCAATACATATGGTTTGAAAATTTTACAACTCGATTAGACGTCGAGTTGCTTCAAGTTGAGTTATTTCGTGTCGGGTTGGATTGATCAGGTTTTTGAGCACCCATATCCTAAAGTAAATAATCTAATTGTCAAGCCACCAATTAATGTTCATGGGGAATAGAAATCTCATTTTCACCATGTTCGAATACAGGGGTTGTCAAAGCCCCTGCAGTCATAAAAGTTCTCTTGCGATAATTCCAAACCATTCATGATCGTCTGGGGATCAGTCGATTCATATAAGCTGATCCGAAAATCCACAGTTACCTAAAAAAACAAGGGTGTGCATCATGTTATAAACAGACCAGAACAAACTGAAAAATCTAAACCAGAATATAAAAATCAGTAAACCGATTTGTTACCGGTTTCATCCCTAACAAGACCATAAACTAAGTATGTATTTGATTTTTTTTATATATGAAATAAATAAAATCAACAATAAAAAATTAATTTTATTGGTTCAGATCAAATTTATCAGTTCAGACCATTTTAATTGATCTGAACTGATTTTATTGTTGATCTGAACTGATTTATTGTTGGATAAAAAAATAAGCGAGTTGAAGCAATGAATTATGCAGCGGGAAAGGTGGTGGTTGAGCTGGCCCATTGGTATCGTGCTGGCCGTTTTTTTATTTGTTTTTGTTATCTTTTTATTAATATACCAAGAATTTTCACTTTACCCCTTTCTATTATCTATGATTTACATTTTGGTCCATCAAACTTTTTGTTTTCACAATCTTGCATGCATCAAGAATTTTTTTAGATAAACATCGGGAACGAGCACATGATTCACACTTTGGGTTGATAGTAGCATATTGTTATGTGAGGGTGTCGGGTCAAGGATCCCGTTGTGTAAAAAACTGTCGTTTTAAATGTATATTTTCGTTCATGTTTTATCTGTTAAAAAGTTGAATGACTGTAATGTTATGGATTTTAGACGAACCATCATCGGGAATAGTAAATCATCTGTTAAATTATATTTAGCAGTAAAGTGTGCCATCTCTTGAATCTATGATCGCCTTTTTCATATGAGTTTTGACCTTGAAAAGCTATCGAATGAATGTGCAATGTAATAATATGAACATCATTTATGTAGGCAAAAATTTGATCACTGACATCTCAATTGATCGCACATGGAACCCGTATCTAAGGATACCAATAAGCGGGAGGGCATTTTTTGACTGACTCAACGGCTCAAACTAGCAGAAGGTCTCAGATCGAACCACATGATATGTACTGTATTTGGACAAAGTTGTCTCGCCCCTTATAATTATGATCATCATTTATAAGTTATATATAACTTATGAGATACTTCATGCAAGCTCATTCTTCAACCTTCAAAAACCCTTGAAAGCTATTTTTTTAATAACTTGGATATCCAACTCGTTATGCGAGCCGACTAATCCCAAGGCGATCACATGCTTTGCGGATAGCCCGGAGTCACCGTATTTGAACCTCCGTGGTCACAAGAGGATTTTTATTCCTCCTTGGATTTGGACAAGAGACCTCCAGGCACTTTGACCTTTGGATCCCAGACTCAAACCAATTAGACACCACCCTTGTGGTTGAAAGCTGTGTTTTGTAACTATCATATTTGTAGATTTTTACCAGTTAACATTAAACCCGTATAAAATTACTCATTTTGATATATTGTGGTCATCTTGTACTTGCATTTGAACAAGCGTAACATTACAACTATAAATACTATAGTTACAAATCTACAATAAGAAAATATAACATCCCTGTTAATACAGTGTTAGACCCAAGATTTTTGTCGAGCGGATGCACCTCAAAAGTCCGCAAAGTCATCTGATGTGTTTTAGTCAAGTTTCACCATTGATAAAAGAGCTTTTAAAGCTTTTTGGTTGATTCCCAGTACTTCTTTCAGGGTTTTTTTTTGTTGATGCTTCTTATATTTTCTGATATCCCGGAGCACCCCTTAAAATTTAGCAGATACAACTTTCATAACTCAAAAAAAAATTACTACTTGCAAAAATAAGACGAGTGGTTGCATAAGAGTCCGCTCATAAATACATAGGTCCGTCCCAACTTGACGATCAGACTTGTATTTTTTGTTTAACACGAATATATACAAAATAAAACTGTAATAAATAATCTAAACTACTGAATCTACAACTACGCTTGTTAAAATTATTTAGTACAGTTAACCAGTCAGTTTAAATCGTCGTCACAAGTGTAGTTTCCAATGACCAAAGACACCCCAACTTTCCAAAAGAAAAAGGGCCCATATGTCATATTGTGAAAGTTAGAGGGGAAGAATTATCAAATAATAAACTAAAAGGATGTAACATGATTAACTCAATTAAAGTGGCGGAGCAAAGTGCGAACAATCATATTTGTAGAATACTCAACGTCATGATCCACCGTACACGTGTTCCAATCATAACCAA